GCGAACAAGATTCACGAGAAACCGGCACTTTTAAACAGGCAGTTAAAAGCTTTCGGGAGACAGGTAGTATCTAGCCTTGGCAACAAGGTCTTGGGCACCCGAAAGGCAGGTATGCGTAAACAGTATACAACGTCATGCAAACAAAGAGGAGGACAACAGTATCTAGAGTGAAACAAATGGATGTCGGTGAGTGTGGAACCCAACAATGCTTGCTGGAGCGCATTAACTCACTAAAGATGGCCTTTTCCCACGGTTCCATCATGTAGAGACCAAAGGTCCATTCATACTGACGAACTTTTAGCGAAAAGTACGAGCGTGGTCTAGCAAGGATGGAGGACGAGGATGCCATGGCGAGTTGCTAATGGAACAAGATCCCCCCGTTGGTTGGCCCACAGCTCTTTCCAAAACTTGGCTGCGGGTCAAAATTCAAGCCTTGATGACATAAGCGTACCGCGTCTCAAAAAATTGACAGGGGGCTTAGTAAAGGGTAAATTCGGCAAAACACGCCATCGCGCCTCACGTGTTTTTAATCATGTGGCCGATTCGTGGGGCTTAGTAGCCTTGCTGTCACATGCCAACGTTCCGATCGAGGGATTTGGGCGGAACCCAACTTTTTGAACGGCTAGCGCTTTTTTGCCAAGGAACTTGGGGGGATTTTAAACATTTCATCGACGGGATTTTTGGCTTGTTTTGGTGAGCGAATTTCCAATTCTTCTTGGCGGTGACAAGTGTCTCCACTGAGCATGACAAAGACGACGCGAAAGACCGAGACAGCCAGCCGCCTCATGACGCTCCTTGCCCGACCTCAAGCTCCTGCGTTGGCCGCGGGAGCCCTCATATTCCTCATCCTCTTTCGACGCTCGAGCCGGTTCCGCTTCTTTGCAAGAATGTTTGGGTTCATCTTTACCATGGCCATCTCTTGCATCGTTGGGATCACAGTCGCTCCTGTTATGTGGCTTTTGGGAAAACCTGGGCTGACAAACTATGTTGTTGCACGGACGTTTGCGCTCATTGGCCCACACTTTTGTGGGCTGAAATTCAAGGTGGAGGGAAAAGAACATCTCAAGAACACTCCCATGCCGGCTGTCTTTGTCTGTAATCATCAGAGCTCGCTGGATCTATTGGCAATGTCAGTGGTGATATTGCTTTTTGGACGCGTTCAGTTGTAAGGTGTTTTAACCATGGATGTTGTTGATCGACAGGGGCGCCATTTTGCCAAAGAATGTCGTCGTGATGGGCAAAAAGTCAATAAAATACGTCCCGCTACTCGGCTGGTTCAGTACGTAGTTGAATTGTCTGATAATTGTTGATCTTGAGATTGACTATTTGATCATCATCACAACAGTGGCTCTCGGTAACAATGTGTTTATTGACCGCAAGAATCGCGGACACGCATTGGAGACAATGGCAAAGGTGGCAGTCTATCTCAAGGAACACAAGGTAAACCTACATCCGATTTCGATATATCAAAATGCCACTCCAGATCTGATCATGTACCATCACTGGCAGTATGGGCTGTGGCTCTTCCCGGAAGGCACGCGGTCCCACCAAACAGACGACTCGCTACTTCCGTTCAAAAAGGGAGCATTCCATTTGGCCGTTCAGGGACAGATTCCTGTCATTCCCATTGTGTTTTCCACCTATTACCCTTGTTACCATCAGAAGAACCAGATTTTTGAACCTGGAGTGGTTACCATAAAAGGTTAGTAGTCCTCTTGAGCATCCGTCTCAGTATAGTCAAACTGCTGTGCACGTCTTCTAAACTTCACTTGCGCCACCCAGTTCTGCCACCGATTCCAACCACAGGCCTTGAAACCGCCAATGTCGACGACTTGCTTGCAAAAACCCGAGATACCATGGCTGAGGCTCTCAAAGGCATCAAGACTAAACCAACTGGTTCCGTCTTACCACCAATATCAGCGGACTCTGCCAAAAAACTAGAATAGAATCGGCACATTTCTTTTCAAGATGTTTATACCATGGTGGTCACGACTGGAATACCTCATCATACTCCCTATGTAAACGTTCGCGAGATAATCAAGTTGTGGAAAGGGTGCTTGTTTCGTACGGCGTGGGTTCTTTCCTACGCAAATTTTATTGCCTAACAAATAGATGCTATTTTATCTTAGTTCCCTTGCTTGCTATATCTACACATGGTTCTATATAATATATGGCTTTAACAGATCGCTAGGCCAAAGTGGCTCGCTGACCGACGCCCTCTTGCCCAACCTTTCCTCCAATAAATTCATCATAGATACGCTGCAGCCGTCGTTTCTCCTGTTCGCTAATGGAAGGGCGAGTGCTTTTCAAAGCACTATCAATATGGAACGAGAGTATCTCCGTCTTCTGGTGGATAGTGATAAACCATGGTGTGTGAGAATGCTGCGGTAAACAAGGACGACCGGCCACAGATAACATTACCTGGTGTCGCGAATCTTGTCCCGATTTCGGCGACTCCTTCGATGGTCTCGACACTGATTCACGTAGCCCCTTATGTATTGATTCAATCTGACACTGGAGTAAGCTCTCGGTAGTTTGGGCCTGAACGCAAATGCTACTCACCCTTGTCGCCAACCCTCCCCTTTCTGCCGCAGTCATCACCTTGTCAATCTCATTTTCATTCTGCACTACGACAAAATGCGTCTTGTCTTCCTGATCACGGGTATCTTCCTTACTGTTTCGGTCCTTTTCTGCAGCGTCAATGACTTCGTGGATGGCTTCCAAATGCGCGTTATAGAGAAGGGCTTGCAGATCGGCACCAGAGTACCCTGCAGTCCTCTCAGCGTAATGGGAGAGATCTACGCTAGGTGACAGGGAGAGCTTGTTTGCTACTGCTCGAAGGATCTGCTCGGGAGATTGTTGGTGTGGTTTATGAACTGGGCAAAAGCGCGGTAGACGTACCTCCAATCGCTCTTCAAATTCCGGCATTCCACAGAATAGGCTCTTATCAAGTCGTCCTGGACGAAGCAACGCCGGATCTATGATATCTGGTCGACTGACTCCGTTGCGTTGGTAAAAACCAGGTCTGCTTACTTGAAACATTTACTCTGGCATACCTTGTCGCAGCCAAAACGTATACACCGTCTAACCCCTCAGCTCCATCCATCTGAGTCAGCATCTGATTCACGACGCGATCCGTCACCCCCGTATTGTCGTGTCCTCTTCGCGGTGCGATGGAATCAAACTCGTCAAAGAAGAGTACACAAGGCTTAGCAGCCGAGGCTCGCTCAAAGAGATCACGGACCTAAACATTGACGAGCGTTTGTTAACCAACTTCCATACACGAGCACCAATAGCAAATGACGCACAGATTGCTCGCTAGCTCCGATATACTTGTTCAAAAGCTCGGGGCCCTTGACGCTGATGAAGTTCAACCCACACTCTTTGGCTACTGCAGACGCCAACAGCGTTTTACCGCATCCAGGGAAGCCGTATAGCAGGAGCCTATCGACAGCATGAGCGAAAAATATATCATAAATCCGATCGAGTTTTTCGCTTACCCTGATCGTAACCGTAAGGTGCAACTGGCGAAAATGGCGGCATATTTCGTCGGCCACTCTAGTGTCTCCAACAAGGTACGCTTGGTTGCATTCAAGCCTATACAAGATGGCATGAATGAGTAATCTGATTGTCTATACAGCTAGCTATTCATTGGCCGTACTCACCTCCAATGTCCGCCCACGAAACTTCCGAACTCTGCAACTTGACACCCCTAAGGGAAGCAGGCACATACCCCTTTTGTGCCACCACAAAATCTTCTTGTTCAACTCTCAATGTAGTATCCTTCTCTCCATCCGAGGTGGCTGAATCAGACAGTTTGCGTATCGCCGCTTCGTGCACTGTTCGTTCTACCAGGACCTTAAGATCAGCTGGACTGTACCCTTCGGTGCTGCCTGCAACAGATAACAGGTCGATGTTTCCACGGCTTTGCTGCATGATTTCGGGCCCAATGGACATTAGTGTGTGCAAAATCTACGAAAAACACGGATGAATGATGAATGTTCCATAATTGCTTGGTCGCAGATTGTAATATGCCACTGCCAACCTGTTGTCGCTGGAGCTTCGTTGGAGACGCGACGTGAACAACCTCGCCAAAAAGGTGATGTGAGAGAAGGGATGGATGTATCGAAGTCTGTTGTTGACATGTCGCCACAAGGACCAAGTTATGGTTCGACGTAGCAGCTGCCATCATATCAAGAAAGATTTCCGACAGTTGCCTTGCACGACTGGAATCGGCATGCTGGAAAGCAAGCAGTTAGAAAGGCACCATAAAAGGGGCATTATTATCAGACGCCTACCTCTTGCTCTGCAGGTATGAGTCGGTCAAGATCATCAAACACGATTATAGATGGCCCGTGCCACGCGGCTTTGTATATCGTTTCCTGCCAAAGATCTTTGATCTTTGCTATCCTCTCGCTGACTAGACTTGTACATGTGATAACCAGAGTATCTGTGTCTCGATTTTAGCGCATTTTGATAATAAGCATATAAGGAAGACACAATTTGCGTACAGGCCAATGTATCATAATCGAGACTCAATCGATGAGCAACAAGCCGGGTAATATCTGTCTTTCCCGACCCGCGAGCCCCGTAGAGCAGAATTCCTCCCAGCGCTGGTAGAAATCCAACAATTTAGCACACGTCTCATACTGAAACGAGACAATACCGACCTGGCGCCTGTATCGAAGCACGAAGTAAGCGGCGGCTGATCCTGTTTTTGATGTGCGACGTCACGGTGTCGAGGAGGGGTTCTATTCCACCGAGACGCGGTACTGGTATTGCTGTCGAAATATTTTGCGACGCTTGTGTTATGGTGTTTCCAACCTCAATTTGGAGGGCTTTGACATTAGCGTCATTGATCACAAGATATTCGATCTCTTTCGGCTGCTTATTTTCAGACGCAGTTGGTTCCTGAGCACTTCGCCCACTGAATCGGATTATGATTGGAACAGGTAGTCGATTTGGCGCTTCGTCCCCGTTACGGGCCGATACGTATAATAGACCACCATCGGTGAGAATCAGTGATCTGTCCCTTTGAACAATCTCGGAAAAGGATGCTGATCATGTCATTAAGAAGAAGATTAGTTTCAACAATACATCAAATGACGCACGGGCGACGGCCCACCTCTCACGGTGTCGATCAGAGCTTCACGTTCTGAGCTTTTACCCCTATTTTCCAAAGTATTGAGATAATTATGCTCCAGCGGAATGGGGCGGGAGGCGAAATAGTCCTCACCTTAGTACCAAATTTGTCTCTTGCAGCCCCCATACGACCCGCTGAACAACAATCTTACGCACCTCGCAAGGCGCTTTGCTTACTTTGCTCACCCTTTGCATATCATATCATCAGATAAGTTCGGGGTACACGATGAGGTGTCTTTACATACCGTAGACGGTTAAAGGCGGAAAGCCCCAGCGGCAACCAAACAGCTTCATTAGCCCACACATGTCCTTTCGGTACGGTATTGTCGCATTGCAGGTACACGTATGCTCCCTCTGGCGCTACGAAATTTCTTTCGGACTCCTGTCCCGACACTTCTTCTTTGTTGACAGGCTCAGGCTCCGGCGTCTGCTTCTTCTCAAGTGTGCGCTTTTTGATAAATACTATTTGTCCATCCACAATCGGTTCTATCCAGCTGCCGGAAGACATGAATATCGTGGGAATGGGAAGGTCGCTGATGGCACCTGGGCGAGGAGTGAAAGCCTCGGTTGGTAACAATCGCACGCCAACGGATGGGGTTTTGATTTTGGGAGCAGCACTCTCCAGTGGGGCATTATCGGGTTTCGAATTTGAGCTCGGTTTCCACCGCTGCTTTGGAGCAACGATCACTTCTGCATCGGTGTCAAGTTTGATGCATCGCGCGTTTGGGTTGGTTTCAACTTTGGTGCATGAACAGTTAATATAGGAGCACTATAAATGACGTTATGACCAAGTCAAGAGACATACGTACCAACTTTGAGCTTGATGAGAGTTTGGGAATGAACCCAGATGGTTATGATCTGATCCTTCCATACGATCCGCACTTGATTCAAGAATTGCTCTTCCAGGTATCCGGCGTGGAGTTCCTAAAATATGGTCAGCATAAACTCCTTCTGGAAAGGGCCGTGGGCGATTCAGCTCCTTACTAGTATCTCCCAATCATCTGCTGTCAAAGGTTCCACGTGTACCGACGTCCCTGAGACAACGTCCTTGCAGAATTCAACGTTCACCTAACGGACAGGATAAGTCCAGAGTATCCCAGTTTCCGTAAAGCTAGAGGAACCATACCACTTGTCCCTCCCTAAGACCAAGAGCTCGTCCGTATTGAGCGTCCAGTTCCAGGTATTCACTATCGGGACTAGACGACAACGGGCCATTTTGTGACGTTCGAGTAGTGGCACCTCCCGCCCATCCCACAAACGCTTTTCCACCGGAGCCAGTCGACTTGTCTGCCCATAATAGTTCCAATACCACTTCACCTGCCTTGAGGGCCTAAAATCATAAATATTAGAACAGAGGCCATTCCGCTGGCAAAATCATTTCCGGTACCTTGAGGCGGTCCCACAGGGCATTGGACCAGGATGGTGGCAGATGCACAAAGCACGAGTGCAAGTTTGCGAATGCCACAGTGAGCTTGTGACCCATTCTGCCTTGTTTTTAGACGATCGCAGGTGCAAATCCCACAGATCTACTGTACACTGCCTTTGTTCGTAGGTCACGGATCTGTCGGCTCAATCCTCCCTGCTCCGATGTGTGACTCACTCTACGCTTTGCATTCCTGTTATGTAAGCATCTCCGATCATATCAACGGGATTCTTTGTCCATGCATTCCATTCAATGGGCATTGAAGAAAGAAGGAAGAGTGACGGAGAGCTTCTTCCTCGACTTTAGGATTTCGGTGAGAGCCGTGCGATTCCAGGTTTAAGAGCGAAAATCATTCTTTCGAGAAACACTGCATGTCAAGCATCTATTAAAACTAAATGGACTAAAATAACGTCCTAAAATGAAAACTATCGCTTCTGTCTAGAGAATACGTAAAACAAGAATGGCAAGCTGCCGCCATGTGCAGCCGATTCGTATAGTCACTCGGGTATCTGCCTCCAACCCTAGCAGCCACAACCTACGCATAACTGGCAAATCGACGGGTATCGACTATGCAGATGCAGAGTCCTTACTTCCATGTTCCTTCAACGGCTTGGATGACAACACTTTGACGTCCATATTGTTCCCGCACACCTGGCATGTACCGGAGCCCTTACTCTGTGATCCCTGACCGGGTAGGGTGTTGTCTTTTTCGGCCGTTGATGCAAGTGCTTTGGCGCGTGCCATATCAGTAAGAAGGAGCATAGGTCGGATTGACCAGGTAACGTTTGCAGCGACCTGCAACGATATGATGTTGGTGACGAGAAAACCAACGCTTCATCAGAGTATACGACGTACCATTAGAGCAGGTGGCGTTCGAACGGTCCAGTCATTGACTTGCACATTGTACACAATGTTGACAATCTAACACGATGGCAGCCCTTCGATTAGCTGATGATTTCGAGGACAAAAAGATCGATCCTAGCACTTACCTCGCACCCAAGACACATCAATAATCGGAGCCCCGTCGAACATAAGATCATGGCAGGGAGCGACCTCCCCTGGCTTCCATCGTCAGCCAACAGTTGTCTCATACTATAGAACTGCCAGGCAAGGTACAAAAACACGGCGATTTCAAATGCAACATGCAGCGCCGTCCAGGTCAATTGTAGCGGCCAGTAGCTAGGGTCGTATTCGCTGTTAACGTTCCATGCATCTTTACTCAACATCGCTCCTACTGCTTCACCAAGGGCCAGCTCGATGGCCATGAAAACGTAGCCAATATAGGACCAACGTCCGTAATACATGGAGATCCATGGTGCAATCGTCTCGTATATCATAAAGCTCAACAAAGTTTCCTGATCAGAGCGTGAGCGTCAGCAAAAGTCTTTCAAAAACAGGAGAGAAACCACAGTCTACTTCACCTGCACAGCGAACAAAACATAAAGAATCTTGGTGTCAAATACCTCCCGATACACATAGCTATAATAGAGGCGTGGATTATACACCATCGCAGATAGAAAGTTGAGATACAAATCGATTCCATAGTAGGTCCACAAGGCAATCTTGATGCTCCGTTTAGGCATCTTCAAGAATTTATCCAAATTCGAGACGAGCATGACCATCACGATGATGAGGGCTGCCACATTGGCAGACTCGTAGGTTTCGCTTTCGTAGTAATACGGTGTGTATGGGTCCCATAGCTCAAAGGGTAGTGGTCCTTCGTCAGTAGCAGCGTCTTCCGATTCAGACATGTTAGTAAGAAACTATGAGGTTTTTACCGCTCTATGGGGAATAAGGAAGAAAAAACGATGGGAAGCAAAACAATTTAACAAGGTTAAGCGCAGAAGGCATGATGTGTTATGTTTGTGTCTAATTTTGGACTGATAGTTACAGATGTCTTTGTTTGGGATACATTATTGTTTTGTTATCCATGACTTCTGGAGCCAAGACCCTCAATCATGCACATGGTTGTTAAATGCAAAGCAATAACTATAGAACAAGCACTGGTATCTTCAACCCATTTATCAAAAGAAAATTGCATCAGCAGCAATCCCGTGCATGCGATTAACATGACATGATTTCAAGGCCATCAAAAAGTCTGATGCATGATCATATTCACACTGGGAAAAGAAAAATAGAAAAAACAATCCAACAGTAACTAAAAGCAAAGATCTTGCCCAGGTCCAAATAAAGCAATTATAAAAAGAAAAATATGCAAATCACATTGAACTAATCATGAAAGTCCTTTCCAGCTCTTGTCGCCTTCACAACTCCCGCCCGAATAACCCAATCGCCAAACTTTTCCCCGTGAATCCTGTCGCGGGCATATCGTGCCAAAAGCGGCCTCAATTCTTTAATAATTTCTTCCTCGCCAATGCTCTCCCGGTATAGTTTGCTCAATCGGTCTCCGACGAAACCGCCGCCCAAGTACATGTTGTATGCCCCAGGCGCTTTACCCACGAACCCAATTTCAGCAATTGTGGGACGAGCGCACCCATTGGGACATCCTGTCATACGGATGGTGATGGCGTCATCACGGAGACCGTGTTCGTCCAAGATCTCCTCAATCAATGTCATAAGGCTTGGAAGGTATCGTTCGGATTCGGCCATGGCAAGACCACAGGTAGGCAAAGCAACGCATGCCATAGAGTTGAGTCGAAGTCCAGAGTGGTTGGTGATGAGGAGTTTGTGAGTGCGGAGGAAAGAGTCAATTTCGGCGCGATGAGCAGTAGGGATCTTGGCAATCAAGAGATGCTGGTTGGCTGTGAGACGGATTTCACCAATGTTCAATTTGTCCAAGAGCTTAGCCAAATCTTTGAGTGCAGTTTTCATGCGGTGCTCGGGTGTGTCCTTGACTCGACCGCTCTGGATAAACATTGTGTATGCCCAGGATCCATTAGATTCTTGGATCCATCCAAACCGATCACCATTCGAGTCAAATTTGAAAGGACGAGGAGCGGGAAGCTTCCATCCCAAACGCTTTTCTACCTCTCCACGGAACCATTCGATGCTACGGTCATCGATCGTGTACTTCAATCGGGCGTGCTTGCGGTTGGTACGGTCTCCATAATCACGCTGGACCGTCACGACCTTTTCACCAACTTCGATCGCCTGCTCGGGTGTGCAAAACCCGAGTACATCCGCAAGTCGTGGGTAAGTCTTCTTGTTTCCGTGCGTCATACCCATGCCACCTCCAACTGTCACATTGTATCCGACAATCTTGCCGTTCTCAATGATTGCAATGTATCCAAGGTCATTGGCAAAGATGTCTACGTCATTGTGGGGAGGCACGGCGATGGCAGTCTTGAATTTACGGGGAAGGAACGTTTTGCCGTAGATCGGTTCGTGCTCCTCCTGTGTGGACACAACCAATTTCTTGTCAAGCCAGATCTCGTGGTATGCGCCCGAGTGAGGGAGCATGTGGGTACTCCAGTCCCTGGCGAGTTTCAAGACCGCCTCGTTGACTTCGGAAGAGTGCTCGTTGGGACTGCAAAGAACGTTTCGATTGACATCTCCACAGGCGGCGATAGTGTCTGTACAGGCCAAAATTTGTCAATCATAATTCATCCTGCTGAGAAGCCGAAGATTACAGACAACTTACCCATCAAAGCTTGGTTCATCTCCCTGATGGATGGCTTCAAAACCCTTTTAACAATTCCATGAAATTGGAAAGTCTGACGGGTAGTAATCTTGATCGTACCGTTCGCGAACCGATCCGCGATATCATCAACAGCCAACCACTGCCGAGGGGTGATGGTACCTCCGGGGATACGGCAGCGCACCATGAACGAGAAGGCAGGCTCGAATCCTTGGCGAGCGCGCTCATCCCGAATGTCACGGTCATCTTGCTGGTAAATACCGTGGAACTTGATAAGCTTGGTGTCGAGCTCAACAAGTGCTCCGGTGGAGCTGTTGACCAGTCCTTCAGCAATTGTACCACGGAGGAAGTTACTGGATTCTTTGATGGCATCATCCGACGGAAGGGCTGGCTCTAGGCTGACATCCATTTCGTCCACATCAAGAGCCTTCCAAAGCAAGGGGCGCCAAAGGTTGAGACCAGTGTGGTATCCGTCAGGATCTTGATCATCACCAATACCGAGAGGAGTCAGGCGAGGAGCACCCAGTAGCTCAAGCTTGGCATCAAGATCTTTACCAGCCTTAGCAAAGTAATGCTTGTCTTCGGGCAATGGCCAATAGTGTCGATCACCAAGTGCGAGGACAGCAAACCTGGTCTTGCTAAGATCAAGCTCTGTGACCGAGCTGAGCGCCTTCCATGTCTCCTTACAGTTTCCAGGAAACTCTCCTTGTCCAGCCGTAGACACGACAAATACAACGTTGGGTTCGCCAGGAAGGTCCTCCACGCTGTAAGAATCAGCTGCCATGACTCTCGGCCGCAATCCGCGCTGCTTCGCTTCAGCACCAACCCGCTTGGCAACTGCCTCTGCATTTCCACCATCCGATCCGTATAGGACTAGTAAGGGCTGTGTGTTCAAGCTGCTGAGGAGCTCAGCGTATGATGCCTTGATCTTGTTCTCAATAGCAGCCTTGCGCTCCGATTCCGCAGAACCAGTGAATTGCTCAGAGATTTCAGGTTTACTCTTGAGCACGTACGCCAAATGGTTCTCGCGCTCCAAGAATTCAAAGATCTCCTTTTTCACCTTTTCAGAATCCAAAGCAAAAGGATCCTGACCCTTCTCCTCCAAGCTAGGGTTCCATCGATACAACGGCCAGTAACCGCTGTCCACAGCCTGTTTGGTTTCCTTGAGCATACCAAGAGGAATACTAACTCCCTTGCTAGCCTTGTTAATGCGCGGGGCATATGCAAGTACGACGGCGGGTCCAGGGTATGCGTCCGCTTCCATGAATGCCCGAAGGACTTGAGCATAGGACGCATTTACTGCAACCGAGGCCACATACACTCCACCGTACTGCATGGCATACAGACCTATATCCTTTTTGCGCTTGTCCACTTGAGCGGGCGCAACCTTCTCAGAATAGGGTTGCGTGTCCAGCACGATCATATTGATATTTTCTTTGGACGAGATGACATGGTGCACACCGCTGTTGCCGACATCGTAGGAAAGTTGGTCACCACCAATGAGCCAGCGCGAAGGTTTGGCAAAGAATACTCTGTCTTCATAAAGCTGGCCAAGTGCAGGGTGACGAGATTTTTCCGTCTCCAAAAGATGGACGGCGTCATTTCCGTATTTGTGCGACTTTTCGGCATCATCCCTGTGTTGCAACCAGGAGGCCAGCACATTGCGCAATTCTGCACTCAAAGGGACATCGGCAGAGGCATCTTTGACCAGGTTTGCAAGACCATTCGCGAATCGGTTGCGACGCTGCACAAGTGCAAGGTGCATTCCGAAACCAAACTCTGCATTGGACTCGGCTGCATTCTTGCCCCAAACCGAGCTTGCTGCTGCGACGTTTGCGATGGAGACACGCTCACCAAAGAGTTGATGCAGCATCTTAACGTATGGTCCCTCGATTACCGAATCCAAGTCCACATGAGGCACAGTGCCATTTACACTGCTCGTTACAGGACCATGGCCATTCGCCTGTGGAGCTCCGATGACAAAGGTACCTTGCTCATCTGCGGCTGTCCGTTCCAGCGCCGACTTTACAATTTCGCCGGTAAACCCTTCCGTACCCAAATGTACTCTTCCCTCCCGCACCGCAGGGGCTTCTCCTTGCCATTTTCCAGAGTGGAATGACGCTGCAACGTCCAAGAACAAAGGTCCCCACGCTGTTGTCAAGGTATGAGCTGTTTCGAGCACTGAAACACGTCGAACAGTTCGTGGTAAAGCAGCAAGGAAGTGTTCCTCGGACCACGGCCGGTAGACACGGACGCGAACAACTCCAACTTTGCGACCACTGACGACGAGATTATGCACGGTTTCCTCCACTGTTGACGATGCTGTACCAAGCACAACAATGACATCGGTTGCGTCATGAGCACCAGTGTACTCGAATAATTTGTAAGCGCGCGTTCCAAAAGCTGGCTTCAGTTGTTGGATAACATCAACAAATGACTGTGTTATCTGAGTGTAGTCAATAGAAGGTTGTGAGCTTGGCAGGAAGAGGGAGTCTTTGACCTATTACCAAAACACCAGTCGTTTGTTAGCACCAAGACAGTCCAATTTGCTGGGAATAAACTGAAGCTTACCTCAGCATTCTTTTGGTGATACTTGTTGACCAAATCTTTCTGTTCAGCAAACAAGTTTGAGAGCTCCGAGTACTGAATCGTGTGAATCTGTTCGTAGCTTCGGCTATCTGCGTAAAAGTGCACGACAGGGATGTGGTTGCGAAGGGCCACAATATGGGAGATGAGGCCCACATCGTGAGCCTGCTGTGCGCCGTGAGATGCAATCAAGAGAGCGCCGGTTTGCCGGATCGCAAAGATGTCCGATGTGTCACCATTGTGCGCAAGAGGAGTGTGAAAGACAAAGGGAGCCTTGTCTCCGATGAGCTTGTACAGTGTGGGGATAGTGTTGATGAGTTCGCTTGATGGAATGTAAACGGTTGCAAGAGACTTGTTCAGGACAGCTTGGTGTGTGGCAGCATGAAAATCTGCTCTAGCGTTTTCAATGGTGACGACGGATCCTGTGTTTCCATATGCATTTCTTGTTCCTTGTTTCGCCCACTCGCTCACGAGATCTCCCACTGGAGAAGGTTCAACCACGAAATTTGTGTCTGCCAAATCATATCTACAAGGAATCAGACAATGAATCAGACAATCAGTACATGCCCTTTTTAATCACAAGATGATAAAATCAGCACACATACCCGACATAGGACAATGCCGTCGGGATATTAAAGGATTGTGCCATTGCAAGAGCCAATTCCAACGCAACGAGAAAACCAAAAGGACAAGTTAAATGCACTCGCTGTCGTTGTCGTCCTTGTCCTCTTGCTCAACAATGGTTTTTCACAAAAGGGGAGATGCAAAAGAGCCCACCCCAATAAAATACCCAACAAGAAGAAAAAAAACCCACAAGCAACCTTCGCCCAAAACTCGACGACGAGATGACTGTTGGTTCCAACAAACCATCTCATCCAACGTTAATGCACGTTGTTATGAATTGATCCATATCTGTGATGTAATTGGAATGTATATGGATGGAACCAATAAAGAAGACGCGATTTGCCTCGTCGCTGATTGGCTGGAAATGGTGTCATTTAAAAAGACTGATGGGTTTACTAATGCAAACTGAGTTGGTGGGGAAGAAGGTTTCCTTCCTGACGAGCAAATCCCCGCAGACGAGGCATTAGAAATCCGAGTTTTTTTGGGACATTTGTTATAAAGAAGAGAACTTGTGCCTTTCTCCCCCACACAGTTCTAACGACGACAACGACCAGAACAACAATGTCTCCATCCACAACGCCCACCAGCAAGACTCGCCTTGACACTGTCTTTACTCCTGCCTACGTGGCTCACCTCAACCAAAAGCTCGCCCATCTGGAACCGCAAAAGATTATAGAGTGGGCCATCGTTTCCCTGCCAAATCTCTATCAAACAACAGCCTTTGGTCTCACGGGTCTGGTCATCCTCGACATGATATCAAAAGTCTCCAAGGAGCACGCTCAACAACAAAGAGACCGCCAGCGTGGTCCAAAGGAAGACGTTGCCGTCAATCACCTCGTTCCGCTGATATTTGTTGATACCTTATACCACTTTGATGAGACCATTGAACTGGCTCATCGTGCTGCCAAGCACTATGGCGCTCCTCTCCACGTCTACAAGCCTCAAGCGTGCGAAGATCGTCAGGAATTTGAAAACAAGAACGGAGAGCGCTTGTGGGAGACGGAGCCGGACATTTACGACTACCTCGTCAAGGTCGAACCGGCTCGTCGCGCATATGAGGATCTTGATGTGCAAGCATACTTTACTGGTCGTCGGAGATCACAAAACGGCGATCGCGCTGCCATTCCCATCATTGAATTGGACAACACAGTCTCTCCTCCCATGCTCAAGATTAACGCATTGGCATCGTGGGATTACGATACAGTTTGGGCATATGTACAGTGCAATGATGTCCCATACAATCCTTTGATTGACAAGGGATACAAGTCCATTGGCGACGTCCACTCTACCCAACCAACACGTCCCGGAGAGAACGAGCGTGATGGCCGGTGGCGGGGTCAAGCAAAGACCGAGTGCGGATTGCACAAGGATTACTTGCGCATGCGGTCATCATACCTGGCGGCAAAGAAGCGAAAAGCGGCTTTGACAGCGTCTGGCACAGAGCCGGTCATGGAGGTGGAACCTGTCCCATCTTCTTGATGCGATGCGGTCAAATAGTTGTTTTCTTTGTCACATATACTTGAAGTCGAATAATGGCGTAGGATGAGTTGGAGATTGGGGTTTCTTCTTGTATCTATATATCCCACTTTTGTGTTTTTTTTTTTTGTTATCGTATGATGGACGGACGTGGGCACAATTGAAATAGATTATTTTCCAATCACTTTACATCTCAGTTGTCTTGCATTTGCTAATGCTTTTTGCACTTTGCAATGTGATTGCCTGGTAGATACACTACTTTGAACCTCTCAAAATAGTGCCGTATTATGAATGCTACCAATCTGGGATACTTTCGACATTATTTCCAATAAGTCTTTAACAAATGGCCAGCCATTTAACTGGGATCTTAGGCAGGGGACAAGCACGATGGATACCACCGCCGTGCCATACGGAAAAGTGACGTTGCAGCAAAGGACAATGAAATGTAAAGCCAAGGATAGACCAAATCGCCGTATGATGCATTGAAGCGTTTGGTGAGTATCGGCTTGTTGGATGCTCTTGTTTGCTTAAAAATTGTTACCTCCCACGATGAAAAGGGAAGCCACAGAGTGTAGCAAACGTCAACATGCCCACAAGGCAAAAGACAATACACAAGATATTCAGCCAAGATTGATAAACACTACCTACTCTCTCCATATTTTTCTTCCTTTATAAAGGGGTGGACGGACAAACGCTCAGGAGTAAGCCTCGTTGAGTTACAATCCCGTAAAACGGAACTGCAATCGCATAACTGTGCTATAACGAACCACATCCCCTAGTACACTCTCACCCGCCCTCCCACCACCACCAGCTCCTGATGACCAGGTATTTGCCAACGGCGGAGCGGAAGAGCGGCACAGAGCAAAAAAGGATGGAGATAGGACCCGCAGCGAGCAGCGACACTTTCTGCCAAGTGTTCGAGGACTTTCCCCAAAGCAACCATGAGCAACCCCGCGAAGGAAAGTTGCTCCGTATGTGTGCTTCGAACGCGATTCTCCGAGATGTTTGTCCGTCAAAGGAAGAAAAAAGAACAGCAACCCGCATTTTATAGCCTTGAAATGAGGCGCAGCTGCAAACCACTGCGCCACGCACGGGTTGCCCTTCCCAACCAGCGAGAGCATCTCCAAGGACAAGAAGGTAAACGGACTCTGGCGTGGAGATCTTGGGGTAAAAACAGCATGCACGCCAGGATCGCAACAAAAAGCACCCGGTCGGTTTCCAGCCAGCGGGGGTGGGCGTCCCACCTTTTGCGTCGCCAGGGAACCTTTCTACCGAATGCCACCCTCGCCACTACAGCAACAGTTCCCGTTCCTTCCGTCCAAGAACCTCCCGTCTTCCGGGCTCGTCTCGAAGAACACTACTACAACTCCCTCCTCGAGGACTTGATGGTTCTCACCTACGACCACACATCTCCCCATGCAAGTTTGTCGCATCTCTCGAAAACAAGAGACTGGAATAGACGTCTTCCCGAAACACCTTTGCAGAGCCTTTTCTCCGTCCCTGTTGAGAGACTCCCAACCGTTCCTGCCTCAGAGACGACAACAAATATCTTGACGCTGGAAAATGCAAGAGTGAAGGACGTTGTTTTGAAGCGCAAGTTCCGGAAAGGACTCTTCAACCCTATTGATTACACGACTGTGTTAAAGGAAAAGTATGATGCTCGGGAGGACGCTCCCCCACCTCCCCCTTATGCGCCCTTACCTTCCCGACTTCCCATTGTGTCAAAAGTCATGTTGAGAATTTGGAGTGAGGCCGCAGTCGCCAACAAGTAAGTCGGCGATAACAATATGTGGTGCGCGATGGCACATTATAACCGCCAACATCTTTCCAGGACCATCCTCCTCTCTGCCATCATGTCCCTTCAATCCATTACTGGCGTCCGCGCCGAGCCTCTCTTTGCAACCGTGGGCGACGCCTCGAAAAAGATCCGGGAAGGCATGCCCCTCGGCGCACGTGTAGAACTCACCGGTGTGAAAATGTACGAATTCCTTGACAAAATGACTCAATGCGTTCTTCCCCGTCTTCGGGAATGGGATGGCCTTAACCCCGTTGGAGATGACAATGGATCCATCACACTTTCCCTTCCCAGTACCGCCATTGGTTACTTTCCCGACATTGAACCCCATTTCGACATGTACCCCAGGTTGTTTGACACGGATATCGTCATCCAGACAACCGGAAAGAGCGATTGGGAGACAGTACTGTGCTTGTCTGGGTTTCAAGTACCATTCTTGAAGGAGAGAGTCGTGGCGCAGGAAGAGGAAGTCGAGGATGCCAATGATCCATGGGCCAAGTTCAGGAAGCCAAAGACAAGAGAGGAGCGGAGGGCCATGGCTGAAAAGCTCAAGAAAATGCATCAAGCCCAACAGGGAGCTTCCAAGCAATAGATCTACTGCGGTGGATGCAAATGGCATCTCTACCTGGAAAGTGTCATGGTTGAGCACCTTCAATATCGGGTGCATTGTTTCTCCTTGCTTAGAATTCCCCGACAATTTGATTCTCTGCCATACCATGTATTTATGAAAGGTCTACAGATTTGTTTAACAGATATATGTAGTACTAGTACTAGTTGTTGATTCCTTCGCATCGGTTCAATAGAACTGGGACCATTATATAAATTTGCATTGAAATCTCCGTCATGCAAAGCATCTGGTTCTCAAATACACAGCAGCCATTATCGAATATTATGAATTTAAACAACGTTTTGCTTATGGTACAATTGCACCCCTTTAGTTCTAAAATACATAAATTAAGGAGTTGCTCAATGCTCAATGTTTCCCGCTTAGTGCTTCCATCTAGAGAATGACACACGATTAGCCCGTTACCAAATGCTCATCGATCTAAAGCCTTACATTTTCAAGACTTTGTCCTTGCCGCCACTGGCAACCTTATCTCCTGCTGGGCTCCAATCTACCGAGTATACTTCATCCGCGTGTCCTGGTAACTCGATTTTTAGCTTCTTGGTCTTCAGGTCCCAGGTTTTGAGTGTCGAGTCGCGCGAGCCAGAGAGAACTTGTCGTGAGTCAGAAGACCAGCAGACTTGGAAGACAGCACCGACGTGTCCGCGGAGGGTTGAGATGAAACTCGTGGTCAAGTAGCATGTGAGTTTACATATTGACTATATACACGTGAAAAAAAGCGAGTCAAAAACTCACACTCCCTTTTCAGCATCCCATAACTTGATGCTCTTGTCAAAGCTCGCACTGGCTATTGTCCTCCCGTCAGGGGAGAAGCTCAAGTGGGTCACAGGCTGTTGATGTCCTGTCATCCGCGTAATAGGCTTCTTGCCAGTACTAGGTTCCCATAAGAATATTGTGAAATCGTCGCTGCAGGATGCGAGGCGTTCTTTCCGAGTTCCATTGGCTGTTGCAGCATTGTAGCGTTTCGTCGCTGCAGCATGGGCTGTGGATCTGTCGGGGAAGGTAGAACCTGTGTGATCGTAGGGGCCGGTGCGGAGGATAAAATCGGTAGAGAGGGCGAGGTGGTTGACCCAGTGGGCATGGCCTTCCAGTGAGCGGACCAGCTTGCCCTTTGGAGTATTGGTTTGGTTACAACTCAAGTCGGACAATACCTCATCTATTACAGACACAATGCATACCTGCGTCGACTCCCACACTTTGATCGTCTTGTCTCTAGATGCAGAGTAAATCAACCCGTCGCCGCCCCACTTGACGCACATTACAGGACCCGTATGTCCGGAAAGTGTCATAAGGACCTTTCGTAAGGTCGCATCCCATATGCGGACAGTGCCGTCACGCGACGCTGATGCAAAGCGATTGCAGTTTTCATTGCTAAAGCGGCATGAGAGATTATCATGCATCAAAATGTAGACTAACAGAAGACTTACAGGTGCATTGGCTCCCAGGATATGCTTGTAATGACTTGCGAATGAGCGCGGAGGGCATCGCCTATAGGTTTACCTGTTTTGGGATTCCACAATCTTATCTAATATTCACAAATATAGTTCAGTTTCAAGAAAGTCACAGCCTTCCTGTAAAGCTGGGTCATACCGTACTATCCATGCTTCCAGACGCCAAGATCTGACAGTCTGGGGACCAGGCCACAATCTGGACCCAGTTCTTGTGCCCTACCAATCCGAACGGTTTAGACTATGCCCATGTAATATGGAACTCTCATTGAGTCGTCATTTATCAAGATCCACACACACCTTCCAGCGTAAATTGTGGGGTCTCGGTCGCTAGATCCCATATTCTCACTGTTGTGTCCCCAGATCCCGTTGCCAGCTGTGTTCCATCCGGACTAAAGCATACCGAGAGTATAGCCTCCGTATGTCCTATGCTCTGGAGCTGTAGTTACCCATGAGTGATGACATTCCTGCACACAAGTAGCTTACCAGTTAGCGAAGAACTGCACCGAGTAACAGAGCGAACACGAAAAACCGCTTGTGGACGGTATAATATAGTAACCAAGTCTTCTGTAGATCGCTGGAGGCCTTGGATGATATCAACATGGAGGTTCTGCGTGATTTCTGTATCGTCGACGAGGAAGGAATACGGAAGTGGGTCTTCCTAAAGTGCCGTTCAAGAATCATATTTTTTTTTAACATTTATACGTTTTTAAGTATTGCATATAATTATCTTACATTCTGCAAGAGGTTGTTCAACAAGAGCGCTAGCTGCTCTGGGTTGACGTCGGCGGGAAGGTTCAAAGGAGGCCCACACACTTCCCCTTCAGGACTTTTGAATTGCGCAACAACCGTGGCCCCGACCGGAGCAGCAGGTGCGGCATCCCCTGCTGCTTGCTTTCGCTTTGATTTTGCCGTGTATGGATGGAACTTTGTTTCTCCCCCCATAATGTTAAATTGCAGGACGATAAAATGTTCAAGCTGCAAGATCTCAAAAAGAGTCCTTCAAGTCAGCAATGGAATGCTGTGCCACTGTTGCCTAGTTACAAAGCTTGCTGGTCAACCCTTCCATCCATGAGAAAGTCGAAGCTTTCCATCTGCCTTTACCGCGAAACAGATTGTTGGAAAAGCGTAAAGGCACCGTTCGGTGAGTTATCCCTCCTCTTTGCTACCAATCGTTGTCATTTTGGGTAGTTGTCCATGTCGTTGTCTTCTGGCTTGTCGTCTGGAATGGCTTGTCGTCATCTCTTGTCGTCTTGTCCGTGGGGAGGAGGGAGAACACAGGCTGTGATTTGAATGAAACTCTCTGGCGCTTCTTTGGGGGCAGTTTACGCTGATAGTCAGAGTCTGTAGTCTATTTTCTGTCTCTCTGTGACGATTCATGCAACTGATCTGGTTTTCGCTGGACCGACTTTTTGGAACCTTTTGGTGCGCCAACTGGACCCAGTCGCTAACTTCACCCCATATTTACATCGCTCCAGACGTACTTCTGTAAAGTTGTGTCTGTTGGCGAGTGACAACAGAATGGCTTCTCCGGACGAATACGATGGCGGTCGATCCACTCGGGACAAGTTCCAGCGTGAACGTGATGATGACGCACAAGGAGTCGAGGTGGACGAGTTCGGACGAACAATAGATAATCGCAAGCGACGGGAGCGCAGCAAAAGTCGGAGTCGCTCGCCGGAACCTACTGGTGAGTAGGTCCGGTTAATGGATCGAATCTGTTTACAATGTTTCTTATCTGAGGTAATACAACTTTAGGCGAACGTCGCGGCAAGCGTCGTCGATCTCGTAGCAGAGAGCTGGATACCTATATACCTGACTATGGTCGGGATGGATATGCACCTCCCCCTCGGTTCGGCGGCGCCACTGTGCCCGTGCCTCTCATGGATTATGGACAAGCCTTTTTTCCGATGATGGGAGACCACTACGATGGACGAAAGAGGTGACTTACTCTGGAGTCTTAATAGATATGCGTTCTGCTAACTCTCCTTGTTAGTCAAAATCTGCCAGACCCGATGAAGCTGGACTATCTTGTTTCACGCGAAGCATTCGCGGATTTCGCGCGACAAGAGTTCAGGAAGAAAAATGGCCGCCATGCCACGATGAGCCAAGAAGAATTGGAACGTCGATACGAAATTTACAAAGAGAATTTCACCAACAAACAGCATCAAAAGTTCTTCAGCACAGAAAAGAACAATGAATGGTACGCATTCAATAGTATCTATTCTCTATGAAACCCTATGGTAACCACTCCTACAACAGGTTCCGCGAAAAGTATCATCCCGTCGAGTCCAGACCACTCAAGGAAGAGACAAACAAGCGCCGGCACGAGCTGCTAGCCAAATTTCAAACTGAATTAGGCGAAGGCAAATACGACGACGTCAACTACGATCAACCAGCGGCGGCATCTGGGGGCGATGATGCTGTGGACAAACAGGAGGACGAAGATGTGAAACCTATCAAGGCAGAAGAGGAGCAACCAGAGGAAACCTTGGTACCTGTAGGCAAGAAGACTTCTGAGCCTGTTTATGCGTTGTTCATCAAAACTGTCCCGCCCAGCATGAAACGTCAGAAGATTGTGGAGGTAGGTGAATGCTTTCTGACAGTACTTATTGTATAGTATTAAGCTCTTTGATCATCAGCTGGTCCAAAAAGTCGAGGGCTTCAAGTATCTCGTTTTGAGTGACCCCAAACCCGACAAGTCGATGCATCGCCTTGGCTGGATTGTGTTTGAAGACGGGACTGACATGATGAAAGCGTTTAACGAGCTGAATAAAAAATCGGTATGTTTTTTTTTGGCTACATGAAGGCAGCCTCCTGCTGACGGCTACCCTTTCAGATCGACAACTTCACATTCCATCTTGCTCCCCATCACATTCTGGAGTCCCGCACTCGTGTGGCTCCCGGCGAAACTAGCAGACCGGAGCGACTTCGGCATGACCTCGATCAAATTAAACAGCTGGCTCAAGTGCTTGACGAGGAAGTTGGATTTGACCAAGGCTCTGGTGCAGATCTGGTTGCCAATCGCCTCAACAGCATTATACTGCCGGCTTTGGATACTAGCATGGATACTGATGGTGACCAGAAGGAGACCGATAAGGTATATAGTGGCTATGAGGTCTCGATTATGAACCTCGCAATGCGTGCTCACTAAATCTCAATGCAATTCCAATAGGTTAAGCGGTCCTTGGACCTTTACATAACCTATCTTCGGGTCGTTCACAATTATGACTACTATGGTGGTATTGAGAGTGCAAGTCCAGAGGATTTTGCCCGCCGATCGGCTGTTTATCTTCGCCGTCCACCGCCTCCTGAAGACAAGGACATCCGTAAAGACTGGACCGATCGACTGGACTTGCGTGTTGACCTGCGCATTCGGAAGCCGATTGATGGTCCAGAGATAACTAAACTAGGTGGAAAATCTCTCGAAGTGGAATTAGATAAATACCTTAGCAAGCATGTCAAGAAGGAGAGCGAGGGGAAGTACCGATGCCAAGAATGCAGCAAGCTTTTCAAAGGCGATGAATTCGTCAAGAAACATATCAAATCGAAACACGCCGAAGTCTGCGCCTCCACCAAACAGGAGGTTGAATTTTTCAACAATTACATCAGGGATCCAACCAAGGTGGACCCCAGTCGACAGGCTCTCGGCGCACTGAACGGGAATGCCACGCAAACTGTCGGTGCAGCCCCTGCCGTTCCTGTCATGCCGATGATGCCAATGCAAATGCAAATGCCGCTCATGAACCCTGCCTGGCAAATGCAAATGCAAATGATGGCACAAATGCAGATGATGCAGCCTATGGGGATGCCAGCGGGCACGGGAATGAGAATGAATGGAGGAGGGCAGCGCAATGGGCGAGGTGGCAGAGGCTCTGTTTCTGGAAGATTGGGGCCACCCCCCGATAGGAGGAATTCGTAAGTGTGCTCTGAAAACCTGCTAATGTGCAAGAACGATCTGTCTAATTCCCTTTATAAAAACCCTCAGGCGCGGCGATCCACGCCAGATTCGTAGCTACAATGATCTCGATAATCCTGTTCCATCTGGTGAAATGGAGATCAGCTATGATTAACCATTCAAAAGAATGATGCAACATATCTTGTCCGTGTCGTGCTGTAATATACTTTGGAGAATGCTCCTTTTGCTGTAAAAACTATTGCAATAATGTGTTGAATATATGCATTTGCGATGTCAAACAGGTTATCCATCTTGAAATTATTTAAAAATGACGCTTCATGTATTGGAGAATATTCATTCTTGGTCTGTAGGTCATCCCCTGTCCATAAACCCTCTATTTCTTGCCAGTCTTCCGTTCTGCAACCTCCCTTTCATGTTCTCGGATGTAGCGCTCTTCGGCAGCAGATTCCCTTTTGCTACAAACCTTGTCGGTACAATGACATACAAGAAATGCAAATAACCTTGGAGACCTACCTGAAAGCATCCGATCCTGCCTTTCCGTGGAGATGCACACTCTTCTCCAACTCCTTGTGGAATTGAGGATCCAAGCTAGGGTCCTTCTCGAGCTTCTTCTTGGCAGCCTGCTCCTTCAACTTGAGCTGCTCCCTCAACTTTTTGATAACTTCCTTCTCGTGCTCCCAAGCATATCGCTCTTCTTCCGTTGCCTCGCGCTTGGCGAATGCACCACCGGCATCGCGGATGTTTGTGGTCATTGCGCGGGTGAACCGGGGAACGGTGCGGAGGGGACGCGCTACGAGACGGAGTGCGGACATTGTTATTCGTTTTTGTTATGGACTTGGGTGCCGTGTCGCGATGAGATGCGTTTTGCTTTTTATATTTTGTTCCCGAAAATGAGGTCACGCAAGTCATCACGTGTATTGCCGGGGATGAGTCATTATGATGGCATGAGTCATGCAGTTTGAGAGATGAGGCATATTCCATTTGCTTGCCCAATGCATTATGGAGATTATTTGTTTCTACTGCATGCAATCATGGAGGAACATTGGGAAGTATCATTGAAATGTCGAGTTGCGGTATAGGAAAATGCGTTGACTGCCGGTGCATCGCTTGTCTTTTGGCACTACATAATCATTCCATGGTCGTCATCGATGTAGAAATGAGTAAGCGTATACGATGACCGTCAAGTTTCTCTCCTGCAGCTCATAGATTCCTTTCATGCATGTGTCTTACGTTCACAATTTGTCCGGTTTGGGAACGCGTTGTCGAGAGCTTACACCTGTCTTGGGACATGAAGCGGATGAACACAGTTTTCTATTATAGATATGCATCCATGCGACTATTCGGTTGTTCTTATGTCGCCAGATCCTATGGTGCGTGCTCAAGACCTTGATTCCTTGTCGCTTAAGCTACCATCCACAAAAGGGTACCGCCAATCATCAAAAACAATCCCCACGTCTCACCAGTTGAAACACTAGAAACCGACTAGTTCTACCTCGTTGCTCAAGAAATTCCAACATGCCTCTTTTGTTCTGTTCGTCTGCGCTGTAATAACTACTGATATCCTATCAGCGTTCTGTACCTGTTGATTTGTTTATATGCAACTGCATGTTGTTGAAAACTCCGCATTGAAGTGCGTAAGCATCATCACGTGAACGGTCACTTTCCACTCCCGCCATCCATCCGGGCAAACAACAACAGTTCACGCCCCGCCATCGACTCTGTACCAACGATAGACATAAAATTATAGCTTGTTAAGTATGGCGGTAAGTGATAAAGGAAGAAGCCCTTGCTGGCTGCCGCGAGAAAAACTCCAAAGCCGGCTGTGGACATGCCAAGTTGCAAGTAGGCGACCGTGAGGCCCTCAGCTTACAGATCATATTCCGGTTGACAGGCTGGCGATCACAAGAAAGAAGACTTTCGAAAATACCTTGAAAAGAATGGTATCATTGATGCCTTGACTAAAGGTGGGTGTGAAGATATTGAAGCTGCCGGCCAGGTCACAATAAGTTGTTCTTTGCTAAAACGAAAAATACGCTAGTTCTCGTTGGCCTGTATGAAGAACCTGAAAAGCCTGAAAATGCCATGGAGTAGGTATCGAGTGAAGATTTTGCAACGACAGCATCTCACTGACTAGTCGTATCGCAGTTACGTAAAACAATTTCTTGGAGGCCCATCAGACGTTGATGTGGAAGCTCTGCGTAATGAGAATGAGGAGTTACGTCGCAAAGTTGAAGAGTTACAGCAGCGGCTTGATGAGATTAAGGGAGCAAATCAAGTATGTCACCTTGAGGCTGCGATGGATTTGAGACCAGTAGAGATACTCATCCTTGATCGCATATAGCCTACGGTACAAGAACCGGCTAGCGTTACCCCAGGAGCACCTGGAGCCCCTGTCGAGCCACAGCCTGCCCAATGATTTGTAGTGGTCAAGAATCCCACATAACACCTGGACACCTGTTCCGTTGAATGTACATATTTACCCTTTTGGAAATAAAACTTCACAAAGTCACTAAAAGCTCATGTTTGTTTGATCACCCTATATTTTAGATACAGAGAAGAATGCTTCACATGCCTCTCCTCGGCCACATTATGTGCAATTGCTCTTGTCTGGGCCCGAAACACCCGCTATTGTGTTAGGTTGTATAAATACACCATTGCATTATGCAACTGCGGTCCTCTTTATTCCGACAAAGTCCGCCAGTCCTTCCCATACCCCTCGTAGAAATAAATCTATTTTACGCAAAATGCAGAGACGTCATCATCTTTCTGATAACTGCCTCGGGATCCATGCTGCACTGAAGGTTGTAGGTGTGCCACCATCTATATGCTTCGACCACTCCGTAGTAGTGGACAACCGCGGCAGCTACGACCAGACAATGAAATATTTGGTGCGAGTGGAACTGCCAAGACATCAAAAACGGGAGATCAGCCGTACGTATCACTTGAAAGTGCAGAGTTGATATCTACCCAAAGATCGAATTTTCCTGGTGCCCAGCGCTCCGGAACTCTGCAAGCATATACAACCGCGCCGAGAAAGTATATTGCACCAGAAGAAATAAGAGAGCCAGACGAGAGTGCATGTCTTGTCATTTGACTCTGGATAGGAAAGTCAGATGCGGCTGAAACTTGGCGCAACGGAGACGGACTCACCCCATATTTCGTCAATGCGTGTACCAACGGGACGACGCCAGTCAGGCCCATTAATACAAACAGGCCTGTTCGCAGCAGACGATAACGTGGAGCAAAAAATTTGGGAGAAACCGTAATACAAATCTGAAATTGGATATGTAAGTCGCTTGCACACGTCGACCACCAAAGTGGGTCGCGTACCGTTACGATTCCGAATATGACAATTACGGCGAGGTAAACAGCCTGCAATTTAGGGCTACAAAAGAATCCTAGCAGAGAGTCCGAGTTAACCAAGTGCCGGTATTTGTCCTATACCGATCAGTGCTCACCATAATAAATCGAAGGAACAAAGGATCCCCTAGAGTCGGAGGTCGAGTGATACATCAATCATAGTGCTCTACTAGCAGCAGGGGCGGGTACAGGTCGGCCACTCGACTTACATGATCAGCGTAACAATACCAACATAATCTCCTCTTAACCATACTGCCGCAACGCTTCTGGAATGACAGCAGCACAAATGGAAGGTGGTCGATAATCCAAGACAAACAACCGCTCCCAAGAAGAACATGCTTATGATCAAGATATCGGCCCAAGTACTTGTTTCAACCGTCAACCACCCATAAAAAACTTGCGCAAGGACCACAAAGCCCACAAAGCCTAGCGCGTGCGTAAAAACGTTGCCAGTTTCGTTGTGCAGGTATGTTAATGATTTTACACATCCCAGGTAAGAGTTCGTTATTCTCCGGTATCCTTTTAGTAGGTAGACGTTATCCACATACCTGAGAAACTTGTAAATGAATATGAAAAGGACGACGTAAAGTCATCGCTGATACATACCAATCTGGCATCTCTTTGATGGGTACGGTATATTTGTTCGGTTCCCCCTCTCGTTGCGTGAACTGATCATAGTCTCGTAGGTCGCGGAGAACAGCGGACGAAGTGGCAGGAACATTTACTGGATCAGTTGCAGCCTTGTCTAATAACGGTGTGGACTCCGCGCTTGGGTCTGCCTTGAGCGATTGTCTCCGTCGTGCTGCTCCTATGCGCTGCTCATAGGAAGAGACCTCGACGGATGTCGCGCTCCGCAAAGAGTCGTCGAGAACGGCCGTGATATGAGCCGTTTGCTTCGGCGACATTGTTGAACGGCCTCGTTTAAAGCAAATGCTGAACTATGCGTGACAAGTTGCGGTGCTTCGACCCAAGTGCAAATCACACGCAAATCAGCTCAAGCTCCGACGACTCTATTTTTCTAAAACGATCTGCCTGAAAAAACAGGCTGTTCGCGCTGTGCTTGGTGGACAAGATGGCAGTTCCGTCGTCGAACGAAGGCGAGCGGACGCCGTCGATCTTCCGTTTATGCGATCCAGTCGGTCCAGCGCGTGTCTTGTTGCCATGTCAACAATGGACACGTTCGTGGCGCAAATATCACGTGTAATCCTCCAATCAGAGGGCGTAACGTCATCCTTAGATTCCACAAGCCACTTGCAGCCGTCAAGCGCCGAAGGCGAGCGACTCGAAGGAACAGCAAAAGGTCGACCCTCATTTGCAGCATTTGCGCAATACCCCAATCTCGAACAAAAAATCAAGGCCGCAATTTGAAAATGGCTGCTGCAGCTCCATACCGCACCTTCCTCGGCCAACGCGTATGGCCCGCCACCATCCTCAAGCTTTACTTTCCCTTTTTCATTTCGGGATCCATGGCTTTCTTCCTCTTCAGCTTTGCTCACACCAAGATGATGGACAGTACGTATTCTTGATTTTCAATTTGCGATCTACTGTTTATGTCGTTGGGTTGAATCGGAACGAGACTTTTGGGAGGATGTGCGATCACGGAGGCATGGGGAATGAAGTGACAATATGTTCGCGGGCCGTATTACAGAATATTGTTCCATGTTTTGGTTATTGCTCTTATCTCACCCTTTTCTTCATTGTAACCAGGTCCTAGCGCAAAGTGGGAGAACATTGTGTAAGTTGAACGAGTGTTGCATGTCTCGGGAAGGGCTTAGCAAGGATTCCCTCGTCATCGCATGCTGGGACACGATGCACTTGAATCCCGGCAGAAGCAACCTTTACGCATATAAAAGATCATCGTTGATTTCGTGAAACTTTTGCTCACAAGCTTGTTTCATCTCTTAGCAACAACGTTCGCCGCGATACCGCAAGGCAAAAGCTCAAGGCCGCTGCTGGAGAGTACTACGAAGCACACAAATAGGAGAGCATTCGTACTACCCCGTTTCTTTGGCTATTCGTCCTTTGAATCAGTCCTGCTATCACGGTTTCCTTGGGCGTGGGATTTTGTCGGTGCTATTAGTTAGAACCAATAAGATATTACTTTGTGGAGTGAAGAACCAAATGAGAAGGAGTGGCGAAAGCTGTGGCTCAACTTGGGAAGTTGAAATTTCCAACCATCACGCTCATAAACATGCAAATCGAATCTACTGGGGCTCTCCATTGGCAAGTCTCCGCCGCGTTCATCCGAAATACCTAATTACAAGCAGTCCACCGCATAATGAGCGAGGGCCGTGGTTTGCTATCCAGTCGCCAAAAGAGCCATTAGCATATTAACTAACATCCCCAAAATGACCACCAAAAAACAACATCTATCCACATTGATCAAGAAAAACTGCCCTATCGTTGGGTATCTCATGCTATATGAAAGTCTGTCCGCGATATACCGTACGGGACTCATGGCAAATGATTCCAGTCCACTTCCTTTATCCCTTTTGCCTTTAGCCACTCATTCGCCTTGGAAAAATGCTTGCATCCAAACCATCCTCCCTGGTTGGCACTCAAAGGGCTTGGGTGCTTCGCCGTCAATACCAAGTGCTTCTTCTTATCAATACCTTTCCCTTTCTTTTGCGCAAAAGCGCCCCACAACATAAATACAAGCCCTGTTTTCGTTTTGTTCAGATAGGCTATGATGGCGTCCGTGAACTGAGCCCAGCCGAAATTTTGATGACTGTTGGCTTCGCCTTTTCGGACGGTCAAACTTGCGTTCAGGAGTAAGACACCTTCCGTACACCATCCTTCCAGAAAACCGTGTGAGGGTCTCGTAAACTTTTCTGGACCGAGATCAGATTCCAGTTCTCGGAATATGTTAAGGAGGGACGGAGGAGGTGGAATACCCTTCTTGACTGAGAAGCACAGTCCGTGAGCTTGATTAGGTCCATGATAAGGATCCTGACCAATGATAACCACTTTGATGTTTTCCAATGAACATTTTGTGAATGAGTAGATCTCTGTTGGGATTGGGTATATTGTCGCCTTTCGAGCGTATTCTTGGTTTAGGGCTCGTTTGATATTGAGAAAATACGGCTTTTCAATTTCGGTTTTGAAAGCTCTATACCAATCTGGGGACATGGTTTCTTTTTCAAGCTGCAGGAGGGCGGACTTTTCGCGTAAAGCTAGAGCAGCAAGTCGTTTGGCTTCGATCGCTTTGACCTGCAATGCGAAAAGGAAAATAGCAGTGAGCGCTTTTACGCATGATAGTCAACATCAAAAAGATTCTAGCCGGCTTCTAGCGGAGGATGCAAGATGGTCGTCCCGCTCACCAAGAGACACAGCGAAACGTTCGTTGCTGACTTTCTTACCTGCTGTTCTGTCAGCCCTTGTTTTATTTCACCCACACCGTTATCTACTTCTGACGCCAAGGGCTGCGGTTCCAGCACATCCTCCTTCACTACTTCAACCACCCCATCCGTCTTCTTCTCCAGCTCCTTCGTCGCAGAGGCGGATAGTCTGCGTTTCTTGGGAGGCAAACAATCCTCGCTGGTGTTTTCTACAGGCTTAAAGTATTTTCGTATCATTGTTGTTGAGCGCGTACAGGCTAGAGGGAGAGCACAGGAGACGCGAGCTCGTAATGGTAGTCCCAGGCAGAACACTTTGGGTGCAGTGTGCGGTGGTGCGATGGATGCAAGTGGGACAAATGGCGAGGAGAAGGAGCGATTTGCCCGTCCTTACCATGCGGCTTGCAGGTGGCTTGTTCATTTACCCTTATCAAGAAGTCATTAATGCGCCACATCAAAATGGTCCGAGAATGGCCGTCGTGAACAAGAAAGACCGACTCTTCCTCATAACACAGCAGGTTGTTAACCATTGTTCCTCATCACGCCAATCACCCCAAAACGCTGCACGAAACAACGTAAACATGGTGTTTGCACAGCAATGGACCACTGTCGCCCCTTGGGTACGCAAGATTGCACCCCTCGTCCACCCTGAGAAGATTCGCAACTAGTAAGACATGATTTACCTGCCACGCGCAATCACAGAATCGAAATTACCAATAGATAGACTTAACCGTGCATTTGTCCATTTGCAGCGCTCCCGTCATTGCCACCTGGGGAGCAGCAGCCGGTATCACTGTCCTCTTCTTCCTCGAACCAACTCCCATCGCCCGTACCGATATCTTCCAGAACATTCCTGTTGTGGGTGGATTCTGGAAGCACAAGCTGGAAGCGCGGGAACAGAAGGACTAGGATATCTTTAAGAAATGATGCAATACATGTGTGTTTGACGTTACGTGGGTCGACACGATTTGCCTTGGGGAGGAGCAGCTAAATAATAGATTATGTTGAATGCCGTGATTTGCGTTATGGGCGCACTATTTCTTTAACGATTTTTTGTTTAGCCAGGATAATACGGATGCTCAATGCTGCAATCCTTAGATATTGATTATAGGAGTTTGGTGTAGATTCATGTCCCACCGGTACGATCTCCCATCCACGGCGGGTAGGAGTTGCGATATCCAATACCAAGGGTACATACTCTGGTTTCCTTCTCATCCATATTCTCTCCGTACTTTCCCCTCGGAGGATGTCCTGAATAATTGTTGCACAGACACAGCGGCCAATCGGCATGTCTCATAGCATCTCATGTACTGGAAAGTGGGGAGTGAGTTTGCTTGGCGCCCACAGTACGGTAAACCATACTCTTTGACTTACTTCGTCCACAGTAAACAATCCCGTCGACATGTTTGCCAATGTGCCCTCCGAAACATTGTCAAAGGCAAATGTGTGCACGGATGCAGATCTCTAAAGTTCATATGAAAAAGGTCAGGACATTCCAAGGCGGTCTCTAGCGCTCATGCAACTCACCTCCAGCTCAATCGCAGTCGGATCCAAAAGTAGCTCCCCTGTATCATCTATCATGCAGGTTACCGAGGCCGCCAGCGATCGCAAAGGTATTCCTGCATCAACGAGGGCGAGTGTAGCGGCGTTCAAGGCAGTTGATAATATCTTTTTGGAGTATGTAGTGAGAAACATTGCTTGTAAAATATCGCGCAAAGAAGGTCTATTACCCCTCCGTCATCTGTAAGAACTTGCAGGGTAACTCGTATTGATGTTCGTGGGTGGAGTCCACTCAGTATGGATGCCTCCAAAGTTTGACGGATTATTCTTTCATACATTCGCTCTTTGGTTGCTACACATGGGTAACCACATTAGATTAGAAAAGGCAGCCGGCATATAGAGGGCATTCTGTCTGCGACTTGTGCGAACGTCATAGTCTTCCACTTACTAGTCATGCCTGCTGCAGTTTTAAATATGACTTCCACGACGGCTTTGTCCAACTTTTCGTCACGCAGCTTCACCTCCATCGGCCCAAAAACGGAACACATGACAGCACTGTCACCTGTAAACCTGCCATATTTTAGTTTCTGGGCAAAGATGCTTTGCAGCTCTGCTGTAGCATACCAGACTTAAACCGAACTGACCCGTCCGCTCTACTGAGTAGAGCCGAACTGCAGTAAAAGGGCCGCATCTCATTCGGCGAGTGCCGTTTATCAGGTCTTGTTCTTTGCGTCATTGTAGCAGCAATCGTCTTTGGAGAAATGGTCAACTTTGCAGATCACCGCGACACATAGGCCTTCACGGCGATTACCATGGCAATAAGAGAACTGGAGTTAACACGCACCAGAACTTGGTCTTGACCCATTGGCTTCACTTACACAATGAATACAGCGGGTAAGCCAGAGGATCGATATGGGATACAAGCTCAAACTCCCAAGATATTAATGTAGTCGTCCCTTCAGCTCGAGCACTGAGGGCTGTCCGCTATAGCTGCGCGGTAATGGCTCCTTCGCACTGCATTTTAGCAGACCTGGCGAACTCATAACAACTGTTTAGGCAGAACGTCATTTGGCAAAGACGCTGTCCAGAAGCCCTGTATCTTTGCTTCGCCAACGCACATTGCTACTTTCACAGCACTCCATTCGGCAGTATTCGCAAGCCGCTCCAAAGGGAGCACAGACAAAGGAGGACTTTTCTGTAAGCCGTCAGTAAACGGGCCCACTTATCTTTGCTGCTTCTCATTCGCAATAATTTGCTTCACTTCGCAGAGGCTCACATGGAAGAGTATAGGAGCTTTCCTTGTCAGTGGAGCCGCTCTATTCGGGTATTTTGAGTACGAGAAGAGAAAGCTGCAAGCCCGGCGAGAGGCGTCAAAGAATGAGAGTGCCGGCAAGCCATTAGTTGGAGGACCCTTCTCTTTGGTGGATCACAATGGACGGCCTGTGACAGACCTTGATTATCGGGGCAAATACATGCTCCTGTATTTTGGCTATACGTTTTGCCCCGATGTTTGCCCAGAGGAACTCGAGAAGATGGCCGAAGTGGTCGATACGTTGAGTACGTTGTCCCTGAGATCTGTATTGAGGTGGTTGGGTTCCAGGCTAATGCCTTCGTGCAGGTAAAAAGGAGGGCTATACTGAAGAGACCATTGTTCCCATCTTCATTTCGTGCGACCCCAAGCGTGACTCGATCGAAGCAATAAAAGAATATGTCCGAGGCAAGCACCGTGCATATTCATGTCAATATGGCTCTGTTTAAATCCTAACGGGCATTTTAGACTTCCATCCCAAATTTGTAGGGTTGATTGGAACGCATGCACAGATCAAGCGAGTTGCAAAAGCCTACCGTCTGTACTTTAGCGCACCGCCGAGAGCAGTGGACGATGATGAGGCGGACTATCTTGTGGACCATTCTATATTCTTTTATCTGGTAGACCCTGACGGAAAATACGTTGCACATTTTGGACGGACGGATACAGCGGAGGAAGTTACAGATAGGATCATTCAGCAAATCAAGCAGAGGCGACAGTTGAATGCGTAGATGAGGAATAACTCTAGTTTATTATTTACCAAATTTACAATTTACTTATTGCGGTCCAGCAACCGTCCCAATCTCCTCGCCATGTCGACTTTTAATGCTCGATCGATTACATACGAATGTCACGTGTTATTGGTCATCAAGGGCTGTCGAATTTCCGCTCCGATGATCTTGAGCGTTTAAAGGTCAACGCTGTGAAGAGATAACGCAGCGAGCAGCGACTGTCCTTTTTGCATTTTATGCCATATACAGGTTGTGTAGGGATGAAACCACTGACTTGCGACTGGTAAAAGATGTGAATCTTAACAGCTGGCTGCTCATTCGCAACCCAGTTGAGATTTTCATGTATGGGTGCAAAATAACCTTGTAACATTGCATTATGCCCTGCACCTCCATATGTCATGTCAAACTTTATGCAAACCCAACCTTCAAATCCATCTTGAATAGCAGCGAATATCTTTTTATGTTGCAGTAACAGAATTCGATTGCCATCGTTTTTTGATTAGTTTCGGACACACGTTAATCTGCACGCGCTGGACTTTTCCCACGTAAAGCCCCGCCGTTCGTTTGTAGCCTCGTCCTTCCCGCACACCCAAGACTTTAGGACTTTAATCACTTTATTAGCATGCCAAAACGTTCCCAGCTTGTTTTGGACCCGCCGTTGCCCACAGGGGTGGACGAGGCGGACCTTCTTCAGGCGTTGGACACCTTTCCAGAGTTCAAGCTGCTCTTCCTGTACAAGCATGTATGTTTGTATCTTCGTAGTCAGATTGTTGAGTACAGTGTCAGCTCACAACAGCTACCCTTTTCGGTAGTTTTATCTTATGACCTTTGACACCATGGAAGGCGCACGAGACGCCTTGGAGCACCTTAATAATAAACTTCCGGCAAGCGTCGACATTCGCTGGGACTATTGGCAGCATGGCGATCCAGAAACTGGCCCGTAAGTACCTATAAGATCTCGATAGAGCTGCCTGCAAACCGACCAAGGTTTTTTTAACTTAGATACCCTGACGTTTCTTCTGCTGTCGAGTCCAACTTTGTCTTCATACCCCGAACTTTTGTCCGTGCTTCAGCCATCTGTAAAATGGTTGAACATCTTCCAGGGTTTCGTGGCGGACGGGCAGTGACCCGAGGTCATATCGTCCAGTTTCGGACCGTTCGGCATGCTTATGGGTGTATTGATTATCTCACTAGCAAGACGGATATGCTTGTGTTCTTTGTGGATAAAGAGGGCAATCCAATCGAGCCAATTGCGGAAGAGGATTCCTATGGAGATTTCAAAGCGGCAAAAGAGGGCGCAAATGCACCGGATCGGACCAGCCTTCATCAGAACCTCGTTATTTCTCCCTACGGAGGTGACATTAGCGTCCTTATCAACCTCCTCGCTTCCTTTTATGGCTGGAAGAAGGCTCTCTTTGATGGATCCATCAACTGCACTGCTACGTTTTCCGATCCAGCAATGGCCAGACGGGCGTTCAGATATTTCACTACGCAAACGCCTGCGCTTGTGTTTTTGGAGGCTGGAGGAACACAGCAAGATGGACCCACGTATGTCCGCAAATCCACCAAAGGAATTCACATAGCTTTGGATAAAAAAATCCGCTTGCCGAAAAAACGTAAAACGGCGCAGAGGCGCCTAGAGACGTGGCTCGAAGGCTATAAGGGCTTTATCCATATCGCATTCTTCAGTGAGGACTGTATTATTGCCGTCTTTGTCCGGCCCATGGATGCCGAAGCGGCACTTAAACACCTGAACGAGTCTACTAATCTGTTGACAACCTTCTACCGGACGGGTGAACTTTGTCCGTCGAACTGTCAATTCAATCCGGTGCCCGAAAAGCAAGTGTCCCCTTCTACACCTGTTGGAAGCCCTATCAAGGAAATGAAGGAAGCATTGAAAACGTCGGCCCCGCCGCCCCTAACAACAAGTATTGCTAAGGAACTTGCGAAAGAGCCGTGTACATCGCCGCCTCGGACTGAACCCGCTGCCGAAGAGCGGGTAAAAGCGCCGCTTCGGGCATTTCTGTCTCTTAAAGGTGTATCTGCGTCAACTTCAAAACAAGATTTGCGGGATGTGTTTTCGGCATTCCGAGGGTTCCTTGAGGTTACAAAAGACCCGGATCAGGTCATTGTGACCTTCAGAACGGAAGATAATGCGGACCAAGTAAAAGAGGCCATCAGCGCCTATTGCCGGCTTGGTTCTGTAAAAGTCGACATTCCAAACATGTCCGGCTTTAAAAACGAGGCAAAATCTGCCGTTCTTTCTATTCAAGAACGTGCTGCGCGGACTCGTGCCAAGTTGCGCGAGCTCGAGGCCCAAAGTGCGACTATGCAGCGTTTTCTGGCTGGTGGTCCTGAAGGTAATGTATCATTTTAGTACACTGAGGATGGGAGCGGCGGTGGGGTAAATGGACAGTATGGTGGGGACGGTAACGACGAAAGGACGCTCAAATTTCGTGTAATTTGGCCTTGTTTGAGCATACGTGCAGTGAATAATAAAATCGTTCTTGCGTATGGATCTAAGCGGGTTGGCTCACGGCGGGCAAACCCCGCATGATTACATAATCGCATTTCCCTTCGATCTTACCTCTACTTTCAACATCTTGGCCAAACGATTGTATTTAAGAGCTGGCAGCAAGTCCGTTATGGATATTGATAAGGAAATATCCGTCAACAGCTTAATAAGAGAGGTATTTTTATATTTCTTGTTAACCGCCTATTGAAGGGAAAATTGATATATAGCCTTGCTTTAGTACTTGGTATTTGCCAATTACTCAAAGACAATTGATATATTTGATGCAGAATGCGGAGACAAAGGACGGCCGGTTGATGCATCAGATGGGGGTGGGGTGGAATCAACATTGGAGGAGGCAGAGGTGCTACAACGTTTCCACATTCTGTTAAGCAATAACGGCTTTTCTGAACACTGTTAATTTCCAGAATCGCTTTTTGATATCATTCCGAAATGGGGATCGTGCAGCATTCTTTGCGCTGTGGGACGACCAGTTTCCATCCTCTGTCCGCGCATCTGACCCGCTATATCAAAAGTTGGAGTTTCTGTTGAGCGTATATTTCGCAGTGTTCCCCATACATCCGGGGGTAAGCGCTACCGCTGCCAAGGTAGGAAGTAATCCTATTGACTTTAAGTTATGCTGCCTTAATTGCCACGATTGACGACATGTAAACTAGCATCACTCGCTCCCAGTAACGATGGACACTTTCAAACAATTCTTGGAGACTCGTGGTGCAGAGCTCTGTAAAACGACCCAGTTTCTTTCTTACTACGCCCTGCCATATGTTCCGGACCCTCGAATGCATCCTTCTTTCAAAGACATTTTTGAGCATGCTTGGGTGGCGGATCTGGAGGAGAGATTGAAGCAGTTCTTGAGAAGTGCGCTGCGAGGTAGCATTAGACCCAGATTAGTAAAAGTTGTCGAAGAGGTAAGAGAAAGCTGGAATTGCGGGACAAGGTCATCTGTGCTCAAAAGTTCATGGCTAACCATTGTCCTTGATCAGTCCCATGATTCGGGGAAAACATTTCATGGTAAGGTGCTGACGGTTCTCTAAGTATCGCCCGAAGCACCGTTCTTAATCATATTCTGCATTCTATAGAACAATCTCAAGAGGCCCAAGCTATCCGTAAGCAGCTAGGCGACCTTGAAGAACGTGAGTTTGCATTGTCTTCCAAGCATCGAACCCTTCAGGTGCGTACATGGACAATTATGCATTTTTGGAGACTTTCGAGTTGAATAATCCTAATGTGTCGCAAATGGCAGAACGACTACCATAACCTGATTACTATCGCATCAGAACTGGTTCAAACACTAACTGCGTGCATCAACGGACAAAAGGTGCCCCTCTCTGGTCATCGCTTTACACATTTGCATGCTTAACGGTCTCTTCAGATAACTCCAGCCTATCTGTCAGGGGTTTGCCAGCGACTGGCATCATTTAAGCAAAACCAAGGAAAAGCTTCTGATGGACAGGTATGCTGAACTAGCGGATTCCGAGCATATTCTGCGCGGTCATAATCTGAGGCATCTCCCTAGAAGGATGCACGCAAGATATCGCCGCAAGCGCAATCATCCACAAGCACAATCAACAACCACGCTGCATTGGCCGCCGAACCCAAGCCTAGCGAGCACCAACCGAGGACTACTGTGGAGCCGGAAATTCCATTGGAGCAGTACCTAGATTACAATGCTATCGCGAGGGATCTTACGCCGACTACAGACCCTAGAGTACACAAGCAGCAAGCGTTTCTGCTGCAAGCCCTACGACTGGTGAGTTGTTATGGATCACTTTCAATGACATATGTACTAATGAACGCCGGAACAAAATAGCACGTTACAAAATCTCAATCAATCGCTAACCGACGAACTATCCTCATGACCTACACTGCGAACGATTTCTTCCAAGTTGCTGCTGGAAAGGTAACATTGCTTGCAGGCGATCAGTTTCAGATCAACGGCTAATATTTAATTACACCCTGTCAGTCTTTTATCTTGGACCTGTTTGACCATCCCTCGCAACTAGTACAGGACCAAACCGCAAGACTGATCAATATCCTTGCATCAGATTGTTCTGGCCGAGAATATCTGTCAAGAAACTCTCACTTGGTTCCCAAACTGGTTGAATGCATGAAAGCTGAGGAAATTGATTCGGTGTTTAGGCAGAATGTGCTGGGGATATTACAAAAATTGAGCTTGAGGTAAGCATCTCTCTCCAATGCCAGCATCTGTTTGCTTATTTCACACGACCAATGGCTTTGAATCTAGACGAGTGGCCCAATCCGCAATGAACTCAGTCATGGTCATTCCTTATCTTCTTGAACTGTTGCAAGATCTTGACGGTTTATCCGAGTACACAATTCAGTATGGTACAGCCTTGTTGATGAACCTTTGTCTTCGGACTGCGGGAAAAAGACAGTGCGCAACCAATCCGGAGCGGACCTTGAAGATGTTGACGGCATTAATGGATCATGATAACTTGCAGGTATGTACATGGTTAGTTAGCCCCCCTTTTTCTCCATGTTCAGAAACCTGATCTTCACATTTTCTGTTTGCAAAAGGTCAAAACCTATGTGAACGGGACGCTCTATAGCTTGTTTACGGAGCCAAGTATACGGGATGCTGCTCGCGCGATGGGTATGGAAGATATGCTGCAGTACCTGAGAAGTTCGTCGGACGAGCAACTGGTCCGACAGATAGATTTCGTAACAGAGCAGTTGAACTCGGGTATGTCCTATCATGTCATGACTCTCCGAGTGCTTGGGAGAAATATCTCACTGTCTCTGGATAACAGAGGAGGTTCCGGACAACTCCGATACTGTATCGGAAGATGGCGAAGAAGAGGACTTTGAAGATGATGAAGAGGTGTGATTTGACTCTGAACACCTTCACTGTTAATTAATGCTCAAGCATCAAACCTCGTTTGTAGGATATACCGGAAGAAGACGATACAGACGATCTACCTCCACCCACACCAAGCAATCCCACGGGCACATCTCTCCTTCTCAAATACAAACTAGCTACTCCACGCCCAATAACAACTCGTCCCTATGATTCCCTCCCTCATCATCCTCTGAGTCACCCCTCCTCCCTCAACCTTACCCCGCACGACCTTCTCCGTCCACGCACACCCTCTCGCCCCGGAACACCAACAGTGTATAAATCGATGACCTCACTTCCTCTCCAGCGCGCTCCCGCTGCCCTAAGAGAAGACGGCGGAGCCAAGGGATTAGTTGGCAGTGGTTCAACGTCGCATCTGCGCCAATCGACAAATTCGGTGACTGGTAGTTCTAATAAACTCAATAAGGCGCGAGGATCCAAAGATAAATCGCGAGATCTGAGGCATCCCATAACAGTGGAAGAGTAAGTACTTTCCATTTTATCACTCGGGGTTCGCAGTGGCCCAACTGACAGTTTTGCAATGAATAGACAACAAGAGATCGATTTGGCCTTCTCCACCCGGCCCAAACTTCCGCGTACTCCACTTCCGGGAGCGAGCTCATCACGAAACTTTAGCGTAACAGCTTCCCTATCCGCGTTATCAGACGACGTGCATCAGAGTGCCAACTATCGCAGAATGAACGTGGATGGAGGAGTGAGAAGCTCATATGATGATGGTAAGGTTTTGGTATGGAAGTTAAAAGATCTGGCGGAAACTAATGGTTTCTCGCAGTCCGTGCAACTAGTAGATTATCTCAAACTTCTGGTAGATGATGTGGCGACCAAGATGCTTGTTAGACATGATGTTTGGCGACATGCTGCAGATCGCACGAACATCATGATGCTGTACAGCTTTAATGGCTATTTAGTGGAATATACTGGAGAAGCTCTGATCTTCACAAATATATAAATCACATGGGCTCAATTAGAAACGTTGCATGAGGTTTTTGCGGGATATCAGAGTTCCAAAACACTCTAAAATTGATTCTTAAAAGATAATTTCATGTTGCGGGCTACCGCATCCCCGAAACAAAAGCCGACCACCAGTCTCTTACAACAGCATTGTGAGAGGGTTCTCAACATAGGTCTTGAACTTCTCAAGCCACCTGGCTCCAACTGCACCGTCTACGACACGGTGATCGTTGCTCATGGTAACCTTCATCACCTTACGCACTGCAAAACCTTTCTCGCTCGTCTCATCCAAGACTAGCTTTTCATCCACACCGCCCACGGCGAGGATAGAGGCATGTGGGGGATTGATGATCGCGGTAAAGTGGGAGATTCCATACATTCCGAGGTTGGAGATGGTGAAAGTACCGCCCTGTAAAAATGGATCCCATCTTTGAGTATTTGACGTTGCGGGAGCGAACCATGTAGACGAATGATCACCTGGTACTCGTGAGGCTGCAACTTGTTGGCGCGAGCCTTTTGTGCAAGTTCCTTAATGCTGTTTGAGATCTTTGCAAGACCTTTGGTTTCAGCTTGGTGGATAATGGGAGTAATAAGGCCGTTCTCTGCCAATGTCAAAGATATCAAAATGTTTGGTGTTACATACATTGACAGCCATTACAAATGCCAATCAACCTACCGGTAGCGACAGCGACCGCAACGTCCGCGCTATTGAATCTGCGGAACAGGTGTTTCAAACATCCTTCAATCGTGGATAGCGGGAATTTCTCACTTACTGTCTGATGAAATTTCCTTGCCACGAACTGTTCACCTCGGGCACATCCTTCAACGCAAGGGAAGCCGCTTTGACTATGAAATCGTTGACGGAGAGCTTGAACTTGCCGTTTGCCTGGCTATTCAAAACCTCACGCAGCCTACGCGATATCTATCAGCTCTTGTAGCAGTATGCCGCAAATCACTAGTTTCATACTTCAAAATCTTGTCGGCATTGATTTCTGAAGTCAGATAGTAATGTGGAATTTGTTGCTTTGACTCAAGTAGCCGTGTAGCAATGACCTAGTTGAGCAAGTGAGTAATATGCTCCCATTGGTCCACCGATTTTTTGGCGATTCTGTCACCTTGCGGACGTTTGACAAAGGAATATCAACGTATGCAGCGCCGGGAGCTGGTGCTGGAGGTGCAGCCTTCCCGGTAGGGGCTGCGGCAGGAGCAGGAGTAGCAGCAGGAGTAGCGGCCGGAGCTGAAGCATACAGATGCGCATGAGACAGCCAGAATAGCATGGAACGGTCCGCTCAGCAAAGTTAAGCCACCTTTGTAGTTCAGGACGTCTTCCTTAATAATTCTTCCACCAGGCCCGGAACCCTTAATCCCACCAAGCTCGATGCCACGCTCCGCGGCAAGCTTTTTAGCCACAGGACTAGCCGAAACTCGATCTGTGAAATCAAAATTTTGTCCGCGTCATCAGCTATTTATGCTGCCCAACTATTCAAAGAAGAAGCGTCATTGAAACTTACCGGAAGATTCCCCTGATGAGGAAGGTGCAGATTCGGCTGCTTTTGATGGCTCATCTTTAGATGGAGCGGGTTCTTCCTTCTGCTTGGAAGGAGGTGGAGGCGCGGCAGCACCCTCAGGTTTGAAATCCGCAAACTTTTCCACATCATCCTTATTCTCTACCAAGATAGCCAGTGGCTAGTTGCGGACCGTTGGACAAAGTCAATATAGTTCCCGATTTGAGCGGTTTCCTTTAGTATCTGTTTATTACGGATCCTACCTTGCTGACAGGGACGTCCTTCTCGCCACTTTCAATAAAAATCCTCGCCAAAAATCCCTCATCTTGACACTCGAAATCCATTGTCGCCTTGTCGGTCTCTACCTCCACAAGAACGTCACCCGGCTGAACTTCGTCTCCAATTTTCTTATGCCATTGACCGAGGTTGCCCTGAGTCATTGTTGGCGACAGCGCGGGCATAGTGATCAGGGTATGAGGAGGATAGGCTATAATTTGTTCAAACCAGGAGGGTTATCCATGATACCTTGTGGCAGTTTATCAAAGAACTGTGACTTACAATCCGAAGCATATTCGCGCTGTTGAGTGCGGGCGAGGCATGGAAAGGTGAGATGTTTCCGCATAATGCGAGGTCCATGAGGCACTAACGAAGTGCTATAAACGCACAGGCAGTCGTCAGTAAGTTTGTCGCGCACGCGAAGCCATCTTGAAAGATTTGACAAACCGAACAACACTAGATGCGTGCCGCAAAGCGCCATTTGTAGTAGAGGAAGCACATCCTCGAGTAATGGCTGCACGTACGGTCCTTACAGTGACGGTTGGCGTGCGTGCATGTGCAAACCGAGTCGGATTTGAACGAAGTATGGCGTGCATATTCCAGAGTGGCCGTCCGCGCGGTGGGGTTATGAACGTGAAGAGTCGGCAACGGTATGGAGAAGCCTTTCCTCAGGTTTCTTCCTTGTGTTTACAAACAGTCAGCCAAACACGATGGCAGCAACAATTGGATGCGGTAGAATCGGTGATTGGGAGCTTTCCAAACCTATCGATGTCATGATCGATTACCTCAAGCGCCAGGTCACGTGATCACATCGACTGGCCAGATGCAACTTTCAATTGGAATAACAGCTATTGGGGACTCTCCAGCAATACGCTACGTTTGCCTATTTGTCTACCACAACAGCGAGAATGCGCAGGACATTGTATCGAAAGAGAATGCGTTATCATTATCAAATCATACATACATGAAAAATAAATCCAAAAGTAGGAACCAGAAAGCTCAAATCGTCCCTTTAATTTAAGCAACAATTCCCTTCTGCTGACGTTTGTCTGATGCATCTCCTTCCAGCTTTTCGCTTCCTCCCGTAGCAATGCCGGGTAACGGAGCAAGGCCTTGTGCTGCGAGAGGTACGCGTCGGATTGTGGGTCGCGCTCGGGACAAAACTTTGGCGAGGGGATCAATGGAAGTCGGTGGGGTGGCGGGTGCTGGAAGGAATTTGGAAGCCGTGCTTTGGAAGGATGATGTGGGATGAGGAGGCTATAGAGGATGCGATGTATGTTAGGTTTCGTAGAATGGATTAGAGCAGACAGTGTTATGGTAGCTCCTTACCCCTTTCGGGAGCGATGGACCTCGTTTGACGAGGTCACCTTCTCTGAGAATGACTCCTGGCGCAACCTTCATAGTTTCCGCCTTGATAACAAAAAAGTATGAATGAATATCCCATGAAATTGACAAATGGCCGGACCATAACTCACCAACGACGGCACTTCAAGTGCCACATCTTCCACAAATCCTGCTCCGTGGTTCAAAGCTCCAAGAAGGCTTGCAATACTTCCAGAAGCGCCTTCTTTCGACTTTCTCTGCTTTTGTTTACTTGTGCTACTTTTTGCCTTTGGTGGCAGACTAGGCCCTTTTCTTTCACCGATATCCGTAGCTTTTCGAGGTTGCCGGATACTGCGTTTCTGGTGAGCATATCTAGCGGTGGTAGTCTCAGCAGCAGATGATGCTGCCGGTGGTGTTCGTGGTGGCTGTGGGTGGGACTTTGAAGAGTTTACCGGAACCGCGCTGGTGTCCACTGGTAATAGTCTGCTCTTGATACTGTGTCGTAACCACTTAGCTTTCATCGAAGCTCCGGGACTTACAATCCCTGCAATGACTTACCCTTGTCCAACAGCCTTCCCTGATCCAACTTTCTTTACAACAACAATCCGACCCTCGTGGTCGTAACTCCAATCCACCGGCTTTCCGCCGTCTTTCTCCAAGTTTCGAAGACGTGCTAATACCCGCTTATTCTCCTTGAAAACCATAACACGGTCAGCATTGAGGCATGTGAGATAAACCCGTTCGTAGAGATCCAACCTCTTGAATCGCCATCTCTGCAACTTGCGCCGCAGATAACGGTGGTGGTTGACCGGCATCCTTTAAGGCCCCACCTCGGCGTCCACCACTTCCACTGGACCCAATGCGTCGACGAGCGGCTGTGGAAGTGGTGGAAGCGGCAAGGGATGCGGCGGACATCATTTCTGTTCGAGAGTCGCGGATCTGGACAGGGAACTCCAATGTTAGGCCGAATACCCGGAAAACACGATTTGTCAGATACATACACTAATCTTTCTCTCCCTACTAGACACCAATGAACCAGCTGATGCTTTGATATTTGCAGATCCTGCGACACTTGGCCTATGGCGGTGGAGTCTATTATGTACATGGGACAATGCCAAAACATTCCCATTTACCTACCGTTGGGAAGCAACTGGCGCTGTCTCTACTATTTCTTGAGATGCTTCTGATTGCATACTAACAGTACTCGCTGATCTCGTCTCGAGAACGGGGGGAGGAGTTGGCTTTATGATTTCGAGCGGAGTTCGTCGAACGGGAATCGCGCCCGGCGCCCATGAGTCGATAATTGCTGGTTCTGGTTCTGTTAAAGTGTGTTATGAGTGAGTTCAGAGTGCCCTTCTATGGGAACAGCGATTCTTACCTTCATCTGGTTCCCAAGTGCATGGATCTATATCTCCAGGATCGCGGCGAAAAAAATGCCACTGAACAACGAAAATGAGACATTCCGCTCCATGAACGTATTCCCACTTTAAACTGTCCCCCGATCTCACCTCCACAATCTCGTCAATCGTTTCCTTTGCAAATTGCACGGCGTAAGGCAAAACCTGACTCTCAATATGTTTCTCAAACAGGACATCTTGGGACCTCTGCACGATATGCTCCACCAACGACACAATAAACAGTTCCCCCTCCTCGGTGTCAATCAGCTGCAGGTAATCATCTTTGGTGGTTGTCATCGTGGGAGACTTTGTCGTGGTGAAGATGAAAGCTTCAACTGTGATCTGGTCGGAAGGGCGTGTAGTTGATTACGTGAAGGCTTATTGTTGGGTTGTTGGAAGGATGAGTCATCGCAGTATCGCTCTGCTAGGCGTTTTTAAATTGCAAACATTTGTCGATCCGTTGACACCTATAGACTTTGAAGCCCTTCCCAACAATGGTATAGTAGCGCTGTCTATCATTTGTGAGATCCGACTAAATTGACTGCTTCCTAATGGTTTGAATTTACCAGTCTGTAACTCTGCATACCGACCTGGGCGACATCAAAATTGAGGTCTTTTGCGAAGGTATGCTCGTCCTTGTTCCTCGGAGATATGTCTGCAACGGACGCCTTACTTATTTTCTTTTGAATGATAGCGACACCCAAGGCCGCTGAGGTAAAATATCACCATTTACTCCTCAAAAATGTGACAACTCCCGCTCACATCCTGTCACTGTAGAATTTTCTGGCCCTCTGTGCAAGCGGATATTACAACAACTGCCTCTTCCACAGGTACGTATTAGCTGAACCATTTTCCACCCCACGATGAGATATCTCACCTCAGAAGACAGAAATATGAAAGGCTTCATGATCCAAACTGGGGATCCAACGGGAACCGGAAAAGGTGGAACGAGTATCTGGGGTCGAAAGTTTGAGGATGAGATCAAGGCAACCTTAAAGGTACTGTCTATACACTTCCGCTTCTGCTCAATCCCTCCGCAAATGTTTACAAGGTGATTGTATCAGCACAATGCCCGAGGCATCGTCTCCATGGCTAACAAGGGCCCAGATACCAATCTGTCCCAGTTCTTTATTACCTATGCAAAACAAGCACATCTGGATTCAAAGTACACTGTGTTTGGAAAGTGAGTTGGAGCGCAATCTTCGTTGGTCTGCTGTTGCTGCCGATATTTACGTTTCCAATAGAGTGATTGACGGATGGGATGCGTTGGACTCGTTGGAGAAGGTACCAGTGGATGAGAAGTCCCGGCCGATACAGGACGTGCGGATACGCACTGTTACAATACATGCAAACCCTATAGCAGAGGCTGTGGGGCGATGACCTGTCAACACTAGAGCTCCCCGCGTGATAATTGTAAATAATCTGAACATTGGAAACTTTGGTACTGGGAATGAACTACGCGTGGAATTCTATTTAAAAGATTGCTATATTTATATATAAAAAAAAGTTGCACCCTCACATCCCAACACGATCCACTAAGAAGACAAACCAAAGAGCCCCCTTCGCTGAGATGGTGCTGCCGCCTGACTCTGCACGGCAGCATCGGTCATAAATGCATCCTGCGGTGCAGTTTGTTGTGGTGCCCCAGCATGGGGCGATGACATGATTGACAGTTGCTGTTGGGCCGTCTCAGGCTGGAATCCCTCTGGCAATGCCGGCGCTTGAGGCTTGTATGTATCCGCATTCATCCGATTCAACATGGCACTCACACCCTCCATAACAGCCAAAATTGCTCCACCAAATACCGCCGAAATAGCCATTACTCTCGGTCCACTCCTAGCCGCCAAAATCGCTCCAGTAGCTGCACCGGCGATAATAGGATTCCATGCGTCCTCCTTCCCTCGAACACCAGCGATCATGCAGTCTCCTGCATTGAATAGACCGGACCAGACGGCAAAATTTCCTCCAAGAACTGGTGCGCGTGCTTTTATAGAGGCCAAAGAGCCTGCGAAACGTTCGCCTCGTGGTGAATTACGGTAACCCTTGAAACCGTGCCATACCGTCCCGCCTATTGCCCCCATGCAGAAACCAACACCGACATCATTGACAATTGAGTATGGGCAGGGATCGCGACTGTGATCGGACATGGTTTGCTTTGTGCTTTCTCTTCGTGGAGTGCGGAGGAAGGGACTGCTTGTTCAGCTGGTTGGTCTGCATGAAATAAAGAAGATTGTCAGAACGGCCACGTAAACGTATGCAGAGCGACCTGAACACAAAACATTTACAGGCAAAGACCAAACTTACGTTTACCAGAGAAGGCGACGAGATGGATGCAATGAGAAAATAATCCAAAAGTGCAAGACGGCTTCGGAGCTGCAAATCCAAAATTCAAAACTGCAAGTCAATTCCTGTCTCCATGGCAACTGAGATGTATGAATCACAGCAGTGTACGTAAGCAAACACACAAGCCACAACAGTCATTGAACAGTGCGAGACCAACTCGCGGATTTGTTTGAATATAAAACAAGAAGAAAAAAAAAGAAAGACAAAGAGCGCAAACGCATGATTTCTAGCGTCTGCATTATACCCCTGCAGACCGTTCCCATCATGCCATCCAAAGCCAGCTAGGGCTGGTATTACCCGGTGTCTTATGGCTGTTGGTCCGCCCGTGTTTCGGCGATCTCTTTGTCTCGCAAAGAGTGGCCGAAGCAGACTATACTGAGCTGCAGGCGTATCACCATCATGCACTCCATTTCCATCCTTCCGGGTATGGCGATTTTGATAACGCCAGTCTGGTTGTACTGTGTCACGGCTTATTCAACATCGGTGGGGAGAGTCGTCGTCGGCCTTTCAAGGAATGTTTTGGATGCGTTTGAGGTTGTAAGATTTCAAAAGAACAAAGAAGGTCTTCATTGACTACATGGAGGGAAGTACTATAATTAGCACAAGGAGGTCGCCATAGTAGCATAGCACCAGCATGTGTTCATACCACACATCACCGCCCTGAATGTAGACAACCGCCAGTCAGCACCGAATATAAACAGCGAATGCCGCAAACCACACATTTACTCACCCTTTGTTATCAAACTCTCCACAGTAGTTTGGTGCGGAAAACACTGTCACCAAGGTTCTATTGTTGAAGAATTCATAGCCTTCTTCCACTACCATGTGCGCTCGACAAACCTATTCGGTGACAAACAATTATCAGCACCGTATTGTTCTAAGGTTGCTGTAAGAGTGGCACCCACCAAATCCAGATCATGTCGACTGAGGAACTCGGACACAATAGTCTTGCTGAAGCCTATTTGAAGTAGCACGTCAGCGCGCTCTTCTAATGGTTAAAAATTCATTGAGACTCACAGTAACTAACACCCCGCTCATTATCCTTGTAAATGAGAAACAAAGGTCAACAACGGGCACTAAAATCATAGAACAGGACAATCCGGCTGCAACAAGCTTGCTTGCCGGATGGTACCCTCATGAATTTCATACCTCCCAATCAGTAGCGAGCTATAATTGATACAGGAGTTAGCAATTTTGGAATCATAGATTGAAGGTCTCATCGAATTATACTCACATCGCTTGGATCGGACCACAAAAGATCTGATGTAACAAAATAAATTCAGCCTTTCGGTAAGTCTTGCAGTTCCTGCCGCGTGCACATACCGTTTAATAACCCAAAATCAGGTACATCCGACGGCCGCGCGACTGCCCGAATGTCATCCATGCTGGAGAAGTAGTGAAGTTATTCAATAACCAGCCTATAAAGCAAACAGCTGGGAAACATCAACACATACGAATGCAGGCTTGGTGATAACCCTCCATGGACACAGAATATCTGAATCATTTTAATCGTTTAGGTTGGCGATTTTATATCCTATCTCTCCTACACCGTACCTTTCCTATTTAACAGATTTATTTAATTGTTCATCAAAGAAGGAAAACCAAAAATTTGACCTTACCAGCAACCAATGCAGCAATGGGCAAGCAATTGAAGACATCCGTGAATACTTTCCACACCTTCAAATTGCATCGTCGCTTGCATTCATCGTAAAACCCATACACTGCGGTCAAGTCGTAAGACATCTCCACCAAATATCTACGACATCAAAACAGGGTAGATACACACCTCTGT